CTTAGCCACTTGAGCCACAGGCACCAAGCCACAAGTACTTCTTCTTTAACTGCATGATTGGACTCCTAACACATCTTGTTTACTGCGTGGCTGTCCTGCCTTAACCCTATCACTGTTAATATATGACTTAGGGCTGGGACTTTATGCTGTGTCTAGAGTATTGTCTTCAGTACTCATGGCCAGTAGTGCTTCTTGGCATTTCCCCAGGTCACTCTGTTCCTAGTGCCTAGCACTTTTATGCTCTATCCTACAACAGACAACCAACCACCAAGAAGTCAAGACTTGCTAGAGGAGAACCCAAAGACATCTGAGGTGGGGACACAGCTTCTGGTCAAGGTCACAAACTCTTCCCTTTCCTCTCTCATATGACACCTTTGCTACTTATGATAGGGATGGGTTGCTACGGCCATAGGAGTATGAGGAGGATAGTGAAGGATCTGCGAAGTGGAAGAGGCCTTAATTTATATGTTGACCATATGTTGGGCCTGGCACATCTCTCTCTCGCTTTTTTTTTAAGAGTCCTGTGGCATCGGGTAGTGCCTGTGGCTCAAAAGGGTAGGGTACCAGTCCCATATGCCGGAGGTGGTGGGTTCAAACCCAGCCCAAGCCAAAAACTGCAAAAAAAAAGAATGCCGTGGCATCATAGCTCATAGCAACCTCAAACTCTTGGGCTTAAGCAATTCTCTTTCCTCAGCCTCCCACAATGCCCAGCTATCTTTTTGTTGCAGTTATTATTGTTGTTTAACTGGCCCAGGCCCTAAACCCAGGCCCAGGTGTTCAAACCCGCCACCCTCAGTGTACATGGATGGTGCGGTAACCACTGTGCTATGGGTGCCAAGCCAACATCCACTTATAGGGTACTGAGGTGGCCGGAATAGCAGAGGCCAAAAGGCACCTCACATACCACCCAGCACTTGGTAAGTGATCAATAGCATAGGCTTTTACTATTATTACTGGGCTGGTCACCGGCCTGCCTTCAACTCCAGGGCTAGGGCACAGCTAGGTGAGCCCATCCTTTCTGGTTCCGCCTCCCCTGTTCTGTGGCTGCCCTACCCAGCCCTCTCTTTGGGTCTTTCTGCAGAGCTGAGTCTCACCGCCAGACTCTGCCCTTTGGCAGTGCTCCTGGTATGACCCAACCTCCGGGGTGGCTGGTTGGCTCAGGGAGGTACGTGGCTCTGGAGTCAGGCATCCTGAGTTCTAGCTCTGGTGCCACCACTGAGCAAATGGCTTTTTGCCTGTGAGCCTCACTTTCCTCCCCTGTAAGATGGGAATGGCTGTGTTTATTTTACAATCTGCCATAAACATTAAACAAGGTAGTGTTAGAGCAGCAAGCCTGTTCAGGTCCTCAGTAAAGGGTCTGTATCATGTTTTGCCAGGCTTTATGGAGCTGCTAGGGGTGAACATGAGTCAGACACGAGGACTCTGTTGTGAGATGAGCTCTGGTCTAGTTGCTCTGTGCTTGTGGAGAAGGAGCCCTGACTGCGAGGGCCCAGGTGGGATTGGGACCTGGGGAAGGCCTTCCAGAAGAGGACTCTGTGACCTTGAGGACACACAGGACAAGGTTGGGAGTCTTAAGTATGAGCAAAGGCAGGAAGGCAGGAAGGAGCCTGATGAACTCAGGTTGTTGGATGAAGCTGAAACAGAGATGTGGTGGCTACATCACAGAGTGCCTTATAAGCCTCCAAAAAGACTAGTATTACCATGGGGAAATAGGGAGCCAGAGAGGAATACACACAGAGAGTCATATGATCAGATTTTCATTTCAGAAAATCTGACTGTACTGTGGAGTCTGGGCAGGAGGGGGTAGGATTGGGCACAGGGGGAGCCAGGGACTCCCTTCTAATCATCCAAGCAAGATGTGACGGAGGCCCTGACAGGGCAATGGCTGTGGGTAGGAAGACAGAACCAGCAAGGACAGAGCCAGGATCTGAACCAAGGTCACACCACATCTTTCTGCCACTCCAGACGGCTCCATAAACAGCCTATGCCTGGTGAACTTGGCCTCTTAGAGCCTCAACCCACCTGTTCAATGAGCCAGATGGGAGGAAGTGTCCCTGTTTGTGTGCCTGTGGGCAGAGGTACAGATGGCCCAACACCGTCCCCTGGTGGCCAAAGGTGAAGATTTCTCTCCGCTCTCAGCCCCCTCCTCCCTCTGCCCACATGGAGTGTGCTCATCCAGCTCCCAGGCTGTTTGGATGGAGGGACTCCGGTTCACATCTTTCTTTATGTTGTGTGACATAACAAGTCACTTCCATCCCTGAGCCTCACTCTACTCATCTGTAAACTGGGGGTGATGCTTCCTGCCTCAAGCATGTATGCCTGGCATACAGTAGGTGTTTGGGAGTGGAGCTGGCACCGTCACTTCCCACTGAGATGCACAAACATCTGAGCAGCTTACTGCAGTCCGTGGGCCTTCCCTCTAGCCCAGGAACCCAGCACCTCCCTGTGTCCCACTGTGTGTCCCCTGCCTCATGCTGGCACCCTCTACTCCGGGAGGCAGGGCAGGGGCCCTGCTGCCGACTGACCTGGATGCTGGCTCCAACTCTTCCACTTGACACCGAGGCTTTGGCCAAAGCACTCCTTGCTGAGATTTGGTTTTGTGGTCTGTAAAGTGGGGCCTGTAACCCCTCTTTGCATCAGGGTTTAATGCAGAGGAGTACAAACTGTAGAGTACTGTGTCATGGAGCTCTGGTGAAGACCTGCTCTGGATACCCAAGACTCTGGGTTTCTTGAGAGATGAGCTGGACTGGGGCAGGGGGCCCGTTCCATCTGCCATTAAAATATGCCCATGGGTCCTGCCTGATCTCCACCTGCCTCACTCTGAAGACTGTGGGACCTTCAGCGAGGAGATGGGCTGGGAAGGGCAGGTCCCGCCTCCATGCCCTGAATAGGTGAGTCCTGAGTATTTCCATACACCAAATTTTTGAGCAAGAGTTTTCATCTGTGGCCTCCTGCCAAGATTTTTGCCATTCTTTACTGATAAGCAAGAGGCTCTGTTTTGTAACCGAAATTATAAAATCGTTTTTGTGCAAACACCTGGTGAATCATTACCAGCATTGCCCAAGGCCAGGAGAGCCCCGGGCTCCTTCAGACACCCTAGAGCCCCGTGGCCATCCATACCCCATTCCTTAGGCTGTATGGCTCCCCTGTGCTTGGTCCCTGGCCACATCCCACACCTCTCCCTCCCTTCAGGGTCACCTTGGACAAAGTGCATCTAACCCCACCAGGTTTCTTTGCTGGGTGCTCCCCCAGAATCCCTCTCCTGTCCTCCTCCCCACCATGTGCAGTGACAGCACATCCACTCAATGACTGATCATGGGAGTCACTTCCACCTCCTTCCACAGGGCAGGCCTCCTGTCAGCAGAGCTGGGTCAGCCCAGGATCCTCCCTGTCCCCAGGGCCTTCAGATACTCAATAAACACTGAAGAACAAAAGGATAGATGGAGAAACAAACTTTAGGCAAAGGTGTATTCCTCTGTGGGCCATTTTCTTTCTTTCTTTTCTTTTTAAGCGACAGCATTAAGAGTTAGGGATGGATTGCTGAGGACAGATTCCTGGCAGAGCTGACATTGTGCCCCATCGCTCCACAGGTGACTGCCACACTCACTGAGTAACCACTAGGCAGAGAGGTGGCTCCGCCAGCCCTGGGACTCAGTCCCTACTGGGGCCTGCACCTGACCCCCTTGTTACTTGCCAGCTCCAGGCAGCCCGTGGCTTTGTATATTCTGTGATCAGAGCCTCAGGAAACCCTTGTGCTGGGGCAAAGCAATCTTTGCTACCTGCTAGGAAACCCGAGGCTGTACCGATGGTGGGCGTTAACTGTGGGGAGTACCCCTCATTTTTAGATGCAGGGTGTGAAGGCTGACATGAGGTGTTGTGAGCCCCCATCATGACAGCAGGTGGAATCTGGCATGTGATATCACTAACAAGCCCAGCCCCAGGTGACCACAGTTGTGGAAACCCAAGTGCCCAGGGGACTCCAGATATCCCTGCAACAGGGCCGCGGAAAGGAAGGCGGCTGCAGTGTAGCAGGGTGGTGAGAGTGCCTGTCACGTCCCAGAGGCAAGGGCAGCCAGGACAGCCTCTGTTTATTTTTTGCCAATCTGATCGAACACCCTATTGGATCAGGAATATATCATGACACTGGCTTTAGGCATTTAGTTTAGTTTAATTTAGCTTAGCTTTTCATAGCAGCAGGGCTGCTGTTCAAACTTTGTGCGCCCAGGAACGGTGCAGCTGCCCCAGGAACAGGGGCTGAGGGACAACAAGAACGCCACAGTGCTCACATGAAGACCCTCACCTTCTCAAGCCTCAGCATTTTCTCACCCAAAAGGGTCCTGAGGTAATTGAGAAAGTTCCCCTTAACTGGAGAAAGTGAAATCACAGAATCTGAGAGCAGGGAGCGGCCAGAGCCTGGCTTCTCATTTGGAACATGTCTGGGCAGGTGGTGTTTGCTGAGGTTTCTGGTCTCTCGTGGGGCCTGGCTGTTCAGGAGGCCAACACTTTGCAACAAGGGCACCTTTCACAGGAACATCTGCCTGGCCTCTTGCTCTCAGGACATCACCTGAGTGGATGGTACTCTTTTGCCCTCTGAGACATTAACCCAGAAAGACAAACAGCGGGAACAATGATATTGAGCTGTGGCTCAGGTCTTCTGAGATACTGGTGGCCACTGGCCTGGGGCAGAGGGCAGGGTGGGGAGGAGGCAGGGCAGCACAGGGTGGGCTCCCAGGCTCTTCGTTGTTCCCTGGAGTCAACTCACATAGTCACACCTTGTTCCTAGGCAAGGTCTTCTCTGTTGGGTGCAGAGGCCCGGCAGAGCAGGTGGCAGTCCTGACTGCAGGCACCATGAGGCCAGCCTCTGGGCCATCATTGGCCAGCTGCTGGGTGGTGAACATGAGGGGTGCTGTCAGCCGATCTTCTGCTGTCCCCTTGGCTAGATATAAAGATGGAGGAAAATCTTGATGGTTCTTGAAGAAGCACCTCAGAGCCCACGTGGGCTCCCGGGGATGGCAGCTGCACTCCCTGTATCACAGCACTGTGGCTCCAGGTCTGCCCTGCTCCCAGCCTCTGCAGGAAGAGTCATGTTGGCAGGATCACAGCAGGTGTGGAGGGGAAGTCACTGGGAATTCCCTGGAGATTCCATTGTTATCCACTCAACGCTGTGTTGTGTGTGGCTTTTGTCACTGATTACCCCTGCTGGGTCCCACTTCTCCATTTCTGATTTTCCCTCCAAACACATAACAAGCAGCTTGGATGGATCTGGATACTCTGCTGGAACTGAGACCCTCACCCCTGCCCCATCTCCCCACCCAGCTGCCTCCGGCTGACCCTGCAGAAAATAGAGCTTCTTGGCTCTTAAGGCCTGAAATTGCTCCATGCAGGGCCTGGGGTGTATGCAAAGACCGCCCTGCCCCTGGAAACGGGGACACCAGGCATGGGCAAGTCCTAGAATGGGTGAGTTTTGTCAGGAGGGATGCAAGGGTAGCTTCTTCCTTAGTGGATGCTGGTTCATCCTCAGGAAACAGGAGATGAAGTGCCCGTCTAAGACTTTAGGATGGCCTAGGCATTGGTTGTCCCTTTTCTGAGGTGTGGCACAGAGTAAGTGGCTTTCTGTGCTTATCTTCAGCACCCACCCTCCTTGAAGGGCAGGGATCTAGTGGGGTACAAAGGGATTGAAGAGGTGGCAGCCAGGGTCTTCATTGCACTGGGGAGGGTCTTGCAGCCTTCAGGCTCTGTAACTTCTCCTCAGAGGCCTTGTCGGGGAGCAGCACCTCCACAGTGTAGCTGACCTTCTTGGGATACATCAGGCTGTAGGTGTTATCAAAGCGCAGGACATCTGCAGGATGGAGAGAGATGATCAGCCAGGGCAAGGCCGGGCACTTCTGCACTCCTGGTGTCCTGCTCAGACCTAAGCCCATTGCTCATCACCATCTCCTTGGATGAGGCTGGTGCCGTGTAAAGGCACTGCCAGCACCAGGCAGCAGAAGCCCCTTCTTTGCACCAGGTATCATGTTACAAGCATTCACAGCTCCCTGAATCCTTGAAGCAGCCCCATGGGGGAGGTATTGTCACCTCCAGGTTTAGAGATGATAGACTTTCCAGTGATCACAGAGCATCTGAGGGGAGGGACTGGGTATCCCTTATTCTAATGACTCCATGCAGAGAGGAGCCCCGCTTTCTCTGGAGGAAAGGGCTGAGCTACAAGCCACTTCTCCATCTTGTAGAAGGCATTTCCTTCAATGCCAAGGGCTACCATAAACTCTGGGACTTGAGGAGTCAACCAGATCACTCCTCCTCCATTCTCCTAATTCTCCCTTCCCACAAAGAGGCACTAGGTTATGTTGAGACTAAAGGAAGAACAAGGTGCCTTCTCCTTCCCCATAGGGAGTCAGCCTTCTGGGAGTCTCCCCTTCTCCCAGCTGTGTTCCCCACAGAGGTGGAAGGTCGTGGTGCTTATGGGCAACACTGTATCTGGTAAAACTGACCGAATTGCATCTGCCCTGGGAGGCCAGGGAAGGAAGGATGATGAACACTGGAGGAAGCCACCCCTTTGAAGTGGCCATTCCCTGCAACTGGGCGGGTTCTGTGCTGGGATCCCTGACAGCGGAGCCATGGCTGTATACTTTCCTTTCTCTTTGCTTGACAAGCCTGGTGTAGGGACTTCCCAGGAGGTGACCCAAAGTCCTGAGCTGTGAAACCTGGCTGGTCCTCCCCTGCACCCACATATAGGGACCACTCATCAGCCCCCTGACATCAAAAGACAATTCTACTGGAGTCCATGGGATGTAGGTTCTTACATGGTCCCCACATCTCCCGTGAGAGTGGAAATAGAGAGTCAAGAGGGGGTAGACCAGCCAGAGCCCAGCTCACTGCTCCACCACAGGGAGGGAAACAACTCCAGGGACCCCGCAGCTCTTACAGACGCCGGCCTTGAGACAGGCCAGGCTCCCGTCCTCAGGCACCAGGTGGGCATTGTATCGCTGGCTGGGCAGCACCTCTGTCATCTCCCCAGCCCTCTGCCGCTCCCCCATCTTGGTCTTCAGGAAAACTCCAAACCCGATGTCCCCACCATCTGATGCAAACTGCCACCTGCAGTGGAGGACAAAGCCCTGGTGACGACCACCTGCCTGGGCTCTGGAGGCCCTCCCAGCCAGGCCCAGGTGTGGAGTGGTCACCATCCTTACCTGAGCACACAGCCTGGGAACAGGATCTCGTTCTCCACCTGCAGGGAGGAGCCACGGCCTACGGACTCTGAGTGCTCATACTGTGCCCTCACCTGGTTGCGAAGGTAGTAGCTCCGGGGCACCTCACCCCCGTAGTTGATCTGTGGACGAGGGTGGGTAAGCGGGCACTAAACCATCCCGTCTCCCCTCCTGTGCACCCTCTGGTCTCCCTGTACCTTGGTTGAGCACTTGGGGTTGCCATCAGGGTCAGTCATGGTCCCCCCAAACTCCATAGGCAGCTGGTCAGGGCTGATGAACTTGGTGAGCTCCTGCTTCCAGTTGTCTGTGTAGGAGCAGGAGAGGAGCTCCAAAGGGGCTCAGGAGACTCAACAGAGGGAAGCGGGCTGAGCCCAGTGAGGGGACCTGATCTGTCTTTGGCTTGTTCTCTTGGGTGCTAAAGCTCACCCAAGAGCTTATGTGGCCCCAGGACATGGTCTAGGTCCCAAGGCCTCACCTGTGCATGCAGAGGCTACTGGGTTGGGCCAGAGTCAGTGCCTGAGTCAAGAGGATGAACCAGGGAAAAATGGGGTTTTTAGCATTGACCTCTGCTTCCCAGGCAGACGCACAGCCAGGAAGTCAAGTCACTCACCTCCCAGAATCACTATTTTCCTGCGTGTCTCCTCACTCATGAATGACTTGACCAAGTTGAAGGCCACGGGGAACAGTTTGGAGGCTGAAACACATGAAGGTCCCTTGGGGAGCTAGACAAGAGAGGACTTGGGTATATAAAGCCATGAATAAGGGTGTGTGCTGTACAGGATTTGGATAGCTATGGGTTCTGCCATTCCCTCCTGTGTGACTTTCAGCTAATTACTTACCCTCTCTGAGTCTTAGTGCATTTTAACTCTAAATGGAGATTAAGTAATGTATCTCACCATGGCACCTGTCTTTCAATAAACAGCTGTCTCCCCTAGCCCAGCTGTAGGGTGTTGGGGACAAGTTGGCACCCATGTCGGCAAAGTTGAATCCCTATTGGTAACTCTTCCTTTCCACATTACCCTGGAATCCTCTCGGGTGTAAGAAGATGAGACATCTGCATTAGACCTCCTGTCCCACCCTGAATCGCTGAACCAAGTACTGCCTCTCGGCTGGGCTCCATGCTCTGTCTCCTCCGTAGACTGTCTCATTTAACCTCACAGCTACATTCTGAGGATGCCTTTGCATCCCTGTTTTACAGAGTGGGATAACTGAGGCTCAGTGAGGTTCAACAAACTTCCTCAATGTCATAGGGCTGGCTAGATTTGAACCCAGACCACCTGATTCCAGAGCATATGCAGTGACCCCCTTACTATAAGGCCATCGCAGACAGGGGCCATTTCCATTGAAAGTGTTTCCATCAACCAGCGTGGTCCACAGACTGTATGTTTCTAGTCCACATTGAAATAAATAAATAACAGTAAACGTTTAGAAACTTAAAACTTAGTTGACATGGCCACTGCAATACACCAGCCACAATTTTGTATATTACATGGGTATCAGTCTGTGAAGGACTGAAATTACAAACCAAAGCCAGAAGCCAAACAACGACCTGTCCTTCACCAAGGATGATTTGAGAAGCCCTGAACTGGACGGCTTATCTACCGTCCCCACCATTCCCAGCATCTCTTTCCCCAGGATTCATCCGGTCATGGGCTCACCTCGAATGATAATTAAATTCTTCAGCATCTCAGGATAATTTTCTTCCAGTATGACAAAAAACTGTGGAGTCAAGACAAGTGTGGTCAAGGCCAGGCTCCCGCATCCCCACCCCTGGGTTTCTGAGGCCTCTGATGCTGCTGAGACAAGAGGCCTGTCCCAGCCCATGTTGCCTTCCCCGTGAATGTGTGCTGCCTCCTTTGAGTTATTCTTTCTTCTTGGAGGGGGGACCCCAGGCTAGCATCACTGGCTGGCCTTGCCGCTCCTCCATGGACCGAGGTCCAGGGCTGGTGTGGGCAGCAGCTCCTCATTGACCTGGGAACCATTGCTGCTCTGGCCTCAGCCGCCCACTTTACCTGCTGGTAGACCTCCACAGCTGGCTTCCACAGGTGTTTCAGGCTCAGGCCCTCTACGTCAAACACCATCAGCACCACCTCAATCTTCCTTCCCAGCTGCATGGGACGGAGCAGATACACTGGTCAGGCCACAGCTCCAGCTGGGAGACCTTCGCCAGACAAACTCAAGCCCTTCTTCCCTACTGCCCTGCCACCCTACACCTGCTGGCAGGCCACAGTATTTTCCAAACAGATGGAGCCCATCTAGGTTCTGAGGCGGTGCTGCACCTGAGCCCTCGGACAGTCTGACTCACACTTAGCACAGTTTGCTCAACACTGTGAGTAAAGGTAACTGCAGAATAGAAGACCTCATTCATTACTCATCGGGCATCTTTACGTACAATGACAGTCGAGGTTAGCCAACATTGCATGGTCCCATGGCTATGTCCAAGCCAGAGCTATGCTGCATGGTCTTGGGCTACTTCTCAACTCCTCTAACTCTTAGTTTCTTCCTCTATAAAATAATACCAGATACTTCCATGATTGATAGAACTGCTGTGAGCATCCAACGAGATAATCCACAAAGGGCCCAGTGCCTGGCATGGGGCAGCCCCCTGATAAATACTGCTAGATATTATTAGTGTCATTATCATAATTATCAGCTTCAGGTTGGGACATTCATGAAGTTGAAGAAACTGTGTCGACCCTATAAGATCGGCTCTCTTGTTTGAGAGACATACATCATCTCAAACCTGACACCGATACAGAGCTTTGTCACTCACTCACACCACACATCTCTGCTGAGGGACTCTGCTGTATCTAGCCTCATGCCAGGTGTTGATGACACAGGCCATGCCCCTGTCATGTGGAGTCAGACATTAGCCAAATTGTGACACAAGGACATCACAGCTCACACCGGGGGAAAGGGGGTCTTCCTCTTAGGCTCATCTAGACACTTAGACTCACAAAACCCACAAGGCCACACATGGCATTAGATCCACTCTGAAGGACACAGGTGACCAGTGGACAGCTCACAGACAAGGAGATGAAATCCACAAAGGTGGACATGGAGTCCTTCTTGGCTTAGGAGCCCAATATCCCATAGGACTCAATATTTTTTGCAGCAACTCCATGGTAGTGTTCAGGGTCCCACAGGGATGTGTCCAGTTCCCACAGTCACCGCTTTCAGGAATGCCCAAAGAAATGGCTCATCCATCAGGTGTTTCTAGTTGAGCAGTTTACACTGAGGAATCATTTCAACAGCAAACCTGACTGTCC